TTTCGAAAAATTTTAATTTGACTTTTAAACATCATAAAATTATCAATAACAATCGACCCGATGTGATATTTTAGATTTTATGGTAATCATTTCAATAAACATTTTCTCACTAATACACAACATCGATTTGCTTAGTAAAAAAATGAGTATTTGTATTACCCGTCTATTTGATTATTTTGGCGGATCATCAAGTGAGTCAATACTTTTTGTAGGGGTGTGTAGTTTAAAAAAAATTTTTTTTTTTTGTTAACATTAGATCATTAAATTCTATCTTTTTATTGGAAGAAAACTCTGCCAGAGTTAAATTAGAGATTAATTCAACAACTCATGAAGAAATTTTTAAATAGCTAAAAGCATATTATACAAAGAATATCAATATACCAAAATCTGCAGAAGAATTATGTAGGAGATGTTCAAATTTTTCAAGAGTGAATAATAGAGCAAATTTTGTAGAATCATTAGGATTCATATGTATATATCTCTTAGCTTCATATTAAAATTTCTTTTTTAATGTATAAAATGATTTCCATTAAAATGTTAATAATTATACTTAATTAGTGGTGAAAATTGGACCACAAGTTTTAATAGTCATCATAAGATCGAAGATACATATGTTCATCATGTGTTACATCAATTTCTACATCCTTTTTTTCCAGATGAGGTGGGAAGAACTATTGAGTGGTAATTTCTTAGAATAACATTGTGATATTATTCACATGTATCATAGTTGTTAGCCAAAATTGTTTTTGAATTTGCCAGATATTTCGGCAACATTTTAGCTATTGAATCAAAGAATCCAAATAATTTTGGATATAATTTTGGCCACTAATAAAATTAATTTTGGCTAACAACTATGACATGTATATGGAGTTCTTCTAAGATAAATATTCAATAAACATATTGATTTCTATCATTATTATAGGATATAATGTGCGAATATATGTAATGGATCTTGTCTATGATGGTATCTACAGAATGTATTTATTAGGTGAATTTGAACTCCCAAGAAGTAATTTAAGTCTAAGTCTTGTTGAATATTGCATTTGTGAAATGAAGAATTTAAAGGTAATTTTTTATGACTTTTGGTGTTACTGTTAATCACATTTTATTGATTACACAGTTTATCATTCTTCAATTACAGGATTTAGTTGAAGAAAATATCAAAAGGGTTCCCCCTTTCTTACCATTGCAAACTGGTGATCAAACTCCAACTATGTGGACATCAATGACAAGAAAGACATTGGCAACACCTAAAAAAGTAAATCTTCATTTTTATATGTCCATTTATTTATCTATTATTTGATTTCTAATTGCTCTTTTTTTATTGTTGCTTCACAGGTTGAAGTTTGATATATAATGATAAATATTTATAATATATAGTAATAGTTTTAAGAAATAAAAATATTGATAGATTATTTGAAAGTCTCAACACTAATGTTATTAATATTAATTCATATCTGTGTGACATTTTATCTCATGTTTTGTACCTTCCTCGCATTTTCCAGGTCAAGGTACTGCAAGGGAAAATCAAGAATATGATGCAATTCCAAGGCTTGGAGCCACCTCTGAACTTTAATTGTATCATTGGGTGTCGCAAATCAGATTAGCCTTGTGAACATGAGGAATTCTTTTTCAAAGAAAATTGAAGTATTGTTAGAATGAGAAAAGTTTAAGAATTTCTCTGATTTTGGATTTAAATAAAAATAATTAAAGTCTACAGAAATTCTATTTTTAATGTTCACTTTGTCTGGTTTTGTTGGAGTATGCCCCATATAAACAACAAAAAAAAAATTAAATTTATTTTAATAAATAATACTTGAATACTTGAGATAGATTCCGAACTTGTTCTGGATTGTGTTCTATTAATAAATGCTCAAAAGCAAAGAGGACATATGAAGTACAACTTATGGCTTGATCATTCCAAATTATGGTTTACTTGATTTCATTAGTTGTAATGTTTTCTGTGTACTATAGAAAAAAAAATATTTAGATGAAAGAGAATTCGAAATTACTACACAAGTTTGCATTTGAGTTCATGACTTCTGTTCTTGATCAAATTAAACAATACACTAAAGTTGTTGCTGACACTGGTTATTTTGAATGTAAGAGTTTTTTCAATAAATTAATAAATTCTTCAACAAACACCTATCATAATTTTTTATCAATTAATCCTATTTATACAAGAACGATTGCCAAGTATAAGACTCAAGATGCAACAACAAACCTTTCTTTGATTTTACAAGCCACACAAAAACCTAATTATGCTCATCATTTCATAATATATTCCACATATCTATTATATAGATCAATTGATGAAAAAGTTGAATTAGCAACTGATAAATTGGTAAAATTGGAGAATACTTATAATATCTTAATATAAATATATATATCACTCACACAAATACATAATTATAGTTGATTAATTTTGATAATGAAATTCTTAAAATTATTCCTGGGTGAGTTTCAACTGAAGTAGATGCAATTTTATCATTTGACACTGAAGGGACTATTGCTAAAGCTAACTGTTTGATTGGACTTTATGAGGAAGCTGGTATTGGTAAGGAAAGAATATTAATCAAGATTGCTTTTACTTGGGAAGGCATTAAAGCTGCTTAATACTTGAGAAAGAAAGAATCCATTGTAATCTCACTTTACTTTCTCTTTCCCTCAGGTTATTATTAAATTCTTTTTCCCCCAAAAAAATTTTAATTGGATATTTTGCTAATTAATTAATACTTATAATTGTTTATCTATGTTCATTCACTCGTTCTTACATATTTGTTTGTTTTCTTGCTCCCTGTTTCTCTTCCTCTCATATATAATAGGCAGTTGCATGTGCTGAGGCAGGCGTAACTTTGGTTTCACCATTTGTTGGTCGTATTCTTGATTGTTATAAGAAAAATACAGGACAAGATTTCTCAGCCAAAGAAAAATCTGTCACTAAAATTTATTATTATTGTAAAAACTATTGTTATGGGTGCTTTATTCCATAACACAGGGGAAGGCGAAGAATTAGCTGGTTGTGATCTTTTGATTATTAGTCCAAAATTGTTAGAACAATTACATTCTGATACTAAAAAAACCATTAAACGTAATCTAAGTCCTGAAAATGGTAAGTTATTTGTGTTTATGTGTAAAATGTTTGTATATACATGATGCATGTATATTATGCATGCATACTATTTATATACGTCAAATATACGCACTTCACAACAAATTGTTAATCGTGGCTTATAATTAGTTAAAACATCGTATGAAGAAAAAGTTACCTTTGATGAAAAAGGTTTCAGATGGGCACTTAATGAAGATGCTATGGCTACAGAAAAACTTGCTGAAGGTATTCGAGATTTTGCAAAATTAGAGACTCACTTGAGAGAGCTTTTACCTGCTTGACTCTTTTTCTTTTTCCATCACACGCATCTACATATATTGTGAGTATGAGTAATAATTGAATTAAAAATGAATAATGACAATGACGATATTAATGATGGTAATCATTTATATTTTGCCAATTATTCCAGCAAAAATACATCCAATACTACTTGGGTATCTTGATCCAAGCAAGATTTCAGATGATCTATAATGCAATGTTATATTCACAAAATCAAATGCTTTTATCAACAAAAAAATTATCTAATATATCGATCTAATATACTTCATGTATAATGTTTAACTGGAATACAGGTTGCTTTTGCAAAATCAGCCATTTTCCAACTGCTATCTCTTTTCCCTGTAAACAACACCTTACATTCCTTTAAAAATCAAATTTGGTAACTATTTGCTCCTGATCAGTGTAATTTCTTACCCTCACCAAGTTTTCTAATTTCAAATAAAGTTCAGACATGTTGTTATGATTTTTTTTATGAGAATAAAGTTATTGTTATATTAAAATTTTTTTTTATAAACTGATACATCAATTATAAAGACAGCAAAAGTATAAATAAATATTCGTTTTATTATTTTTCTAAAGAACGCAGGAATATGTTTCAACTTTCGCTATGCATCAATATTGCAATTATTTAATAAGGATGATGTTTCTTTGATTTGGCATCAAAATTTCTATCTTTCCAATTACTTTTTCTCAATTTAATTGGTCTGTTTCCAACATATTTACCTTGGTTAATTGATAGAAATTTAAATAAATTGGTGTCCAATTATTACTATTGTCATTATTTACAAATAAAAAATCTCTACCAGCGACCAGCAAAACCTTTCCCATGATAATATATATATTAAACCTACCATTCATTTCTTTCCATGCTTTGACAAATTCATCCGCATCTTTAAACTAACAAATCCATATCCTTTGCTCTTACCCGTTCTTTTGTCTCGAATCACTTTGGTTTTTTGGATTGATAAATATTTACTGAATGCTTTGTAAAGCATATCATCTGTTACCTCATTACCAAGATCTCCGCAAAATAATCTAAAATCATCTATTATAATTATATCCAAGATTGAATATGTTATTAGTAATGAATGATATTATTATATTTTACAATTTGTAATTTTAGTGATTTTAGTATATTCTTGCAAATGTGTAAAAAAAATTACTTACTAGAATCCCATTCTAACAATGTAGAATCCTCCCAAACTTCTCCTCCTGCTGCTCTAACTATTGTTTTTTGTTTCTTTTTGGAATTCAGGTTTTTACCACCACCACCACCACCACTATTATTATTAACACTAGTATTACCGTTATTATTGTGATCTACAAAATCAATGGTTTCATCTTTCATTGAACTATTATGTTTTTGATTAAAATTATTTTTCCCCATTCCACCAACACTATTACTTAGTTTACTTGGAGAAAAAAAATATTTATTATTATTAAATGCAGTAGAATTACTATTACCTGTTACTGATGGTAATGCTTCTACTGTTGTTTTAGGCGCAATTGACATTTTTGACGTTGATGCTGGACCTGTAGGTGGTTGATGATAATAGTAATTGTTAAAAGATGGAGGAGAAGAATAATTATAACTGTTTTGTTGATAGGTTTTATTTGTTGATGTTGGATAATTTGTGTATTTACTATCAATATTATTATTATAATGTTGATATTGGTGAGATTGGTGAATTGGTTGCTGTAGAGAATTATCCGTTGCCGGTGTTACTGATGCATAAAGCTTGGAATCATATGTGTATTGATCATTGTATGAATGGTTTCTTCCGGACATAATAATAATTTTATAAACGTTTAAAAAAAAATTTTTTTTTTGAATGATGTCGATTCGTGTAACTAATTTTTATTTTCTAAACACGAAATTTTTTTTTTAAAAAAAAATGGATTCACATACAACATTGACTAGTACCAGAAAACCTATAAAGCTCACTGAAGAAAGAAAAAGACGACTGATGAGTCAAAAATATGCGTACTCACTTTTATGTAATAACCAAATTGTGCCATCTCATATTTTTGTTGCCATGGCAAGAGACTCGGAACATGAGCAAGCATTGGAAACATATGCCAACATTTATGGTTGTGAACTTGATAATACAATAAATTCACTAAAATATATACAAGAATCTTTAAAATCATTATCATCAACACCAGAAACAAACGATGTTTCTACTTTTACTTCAGCTGCTGCTAATTTCATACCAATACCTCCTGAAGTACTTATTAAAGCACTAAATCAAGCTAAACTAATAAAAATAGAGCTTAGAAATAGAAGAAACGAAAGAATTAAAGCTCTTGAGAATTTACCAGCAAATTTATCAAATGAACCATTGAAACAACGATTGGCTTTTGATGATGACAACAAACCTGTTTCAAATCCTAAGCTCAAAGCCGTAATAGAATTAAAGGCTTTAAGATTATATGATCATCAACAAAAGGCAATAACGATTTTATTTATTCATTCATTCATTTCATTCATTCGTTCATTCATTCACTCATTTCAATTAGTTAATTAATTATTTAGTTATAAAAAAAACTCTTAATTTGAAAATAATAATTTATAGATTCGTAATAATGTTTTTCAATACAGTCCGATGTATAATAAACCACAGAGACTTGATGATATTTTACAATATAGACGACCAGAAGAAAAAGTAGAGTACACTTTGTCATATATTCAAAAACGTGAACAAGATCGTATACAGAAAAAAATCAATAAAAAGAAAGCCAAGAGAAATAGATTTTTGTTTCAGATAAAAGCAACGTATGCAGATTATGTCACAATATCTGAGTTAATGAGGGATAAAAAACTTGCATTTGGTAGGGCAGTCTTAAACTATCATGCATCTGTTCAAAAAGAACAACAAAGAAAGCAAGATAAATTCCAACGAGAAAGATTGAATGCTTTAAAAAACGATGATGAAGAGGCATACATGAAATTGATTGATGAAACTAAAGACACCAGACTCAGTCATTTATTAAAACAAACTGATCAATATCTTGAAAAATTGGCAAAAGCAGTTTCCACTCAACAAAATGAACCTTTTAATAATAATTCAACGATTAACACTCATTTCGTTCCCAGTACTATATTTTCATCACCAGTTATTGACGAAGACAATATCATTGAAACAACGGTAATTGATTTATTTAATACGATACTATCATTATATCATAATCATCTATTAATATGAAATTGATTGTTATTTTTTGTCCAACTAATAATTAGGATGGAAAAAAAATTGATTATTACCAAGTTGCACATAGGATAAAAGAAGAAGTGAAGCAACCGTTGATACTTAAAGGTGGCATATTGAAAGAATATCAATTAAAGGGATTAGAATGGATGGTGTCGTTATATAATAATCGTTTGAATGGTATTCTAGCAGATGAAATGGGATTGGGGAAAACAATTCAAACAATTTCCTTGATTACATGTTTAATTGAAAAAAAGAAACAAAATGGACCATTTCTAATAATTGTTCCATTATCGTGAGTAATAATGTTAATTATATTTTTAATATTATGATTTTAATAATCAATATAATTTATTATTTATACCAAATAGAACATTAACAAATTGGATAATGGAATTGGAAAAATGGGCACCAGATGTTAAAAAAATAGTCTATAAAGGAGGTCCTAATGAAAGGAAAAACATACAACTAAAACATTTGAAACATATTGATTTTCAAGTATTTTTAACAACATATGAATATGTTATTAGAGATAATAAACCATTGAGTAGAGTGAATTGGTTGTATGTAATAGTTGATGAGGGCCATCGTATGAAGAATGTCAATTCTAAGTTATCCATGGTGTTGAGCACTAAATATAAGTTCAGATACCGATTAATCTTGACTGGCACTCCACTACAAGTATATTATTTTATTGTATACATTTTGGGTTTAATTATTATTAATTAGTCTAATTATTTATTTACCTATTGGGAATGATATCTTTTTTAAAATAACATAATAGAATAATTTACCAGAATTGTGGTCATTATTAAATTTTGTACTGCCAAAAATCTTCAATTCATTGGATAGTTTTGATGAATGGTTTAATACACCTTTTGCAAATACTGGAGGTCAAGATAAAATTGCTTTGAATGAAGAGGAGACACTCTTGATTATCCGTCGTCTTCACAAAGTACTTCGGCCTTTTCTTTTACGAAGATTAAAAAAAGATGTCGAATCTGAACTGCCAGATAAGGTAGAAAGAGTAATAAAAGTTAAATTATCTGCACTTCAGGTCAAACTATACAATCAGATGAAAACACATGGTGCAATATTTGTTAATAAGGGAGAAAAAGGGTAAGTTTTTTTTTTTCTTTTTCAAAAATATTTATATTATATTATATTTATTTGTCTTTGTATAAATATATATAATAGGAAAACTGGTATCAAGGGCCTAAATAATACTATAATGCAACTAAAGAAAATATGCAACCATCCATTTGTATTCAAAGAGGTTGAAGGAGATATTAATAAGAGCAATAGTAATAATGAATATCTATATCGTGTATCAGGAAAATTTGAATTTCTTGATAGAATTTTACCCAAATTAATTAAAACCAATCATAAAGTAATTTGTTTGTTTGTTTGTTTGTTTATTATCAATGTAATGTTTAATTATGATTAATTATTTATGTATGATATAGGTTTTAATATTTTTTCAAATGACCAAAATCATGGATATAATGCAAGACTATCTTGAATGGAGAGAATACATTTATCTTAGATTGGACGGTCAAACAAAAGTAAATATTAATAGTAATATTATTTGTTATTGTTATTTATTATGAATAATAACATTATCTAAAAAAATAAACCTTTAGCCAGAAGAACGTACTGATCTTTTAGGGAAATTCAGTGATCCTGCCTCACCTTATTCCATCTTCATGTTAAGTACTCGTGCTGGTGGTTTAGGATTAAACTTACAAACAGCTGATACTGTTATAATTTTTGATTCTGATTGGTGTGTAATTTATTATTATTATTATTATTATTATTATTATTATTATTATTATTATTATTATTATTATTATTATTATTATTATTATTTATATTCATTCCTTATGATAATAATAATAAATTTATTTACTTAGGAATCCTCATCAAGACTTGCAAGCTCAGGATCGAGCTCATAGAATTGGGCAAAAGAATGAAGTTAAAGTTCTACGATTGATTTCACAAAAATCGATCGAAGAAAATATTTTAGCACGTGCTCAATTCAAACTTGATATTGATGGGAAGGTGATTCAAGCAGGAAAATTTGATCATAAAAGTACTGCTCAAGAACGTGAAGCATATTTGGTATGGTGTATTTATTTATTCATTCATTGAATTAATTAAGTAATTAGTTAATTAATTATTAAATTTACACTATATTAGAGATCATTATTAGAAAGTGGAGATAATGATGAAACAAATGAAGTTCTTGATAATGAAGTTCTTGATAATGATGAAATTAATGAAATTTTGGCACGCAGTGATGACGAAATAAGGATCTTTAGAGAGATTGATGATGAGAGAGAAAAAAACGAGGAAAAAGAATGGCTAAGCTCAGGAAATAGTAATATTAGGAAAAGTAGATTAGTTGAAGAGCATGAATTACCTCCTTTGTATTTAGCAGAATATCAAGAAATTAGATCTGAAAATGTTGAAGAATATGGCAGAGGACAAAGACAGCGAAAAGAAGTTTTCTATGATGATGGTTTGACTGAAGATCAATACTTGAAGGTATATTTATTTAAATAAAAATATGCAATTATATACATAGGTATTTATATGTATTTAAATATTTATAAAATAAAGGCACTTGAAAAGAACTTGGATGTGACGGATTTAATTACTAAAAAGAAAAAAGCATACCTTGAAAAAAAAAGCAAGGGCAAGGAAGTTGCCGATGATTTTGATTTGGAAGAAGAGCAAGAAGATGAGGAACAGGAAGATGGATTGAAAGTAAAAAAACATAATCAAAGGGACAGAAAAGGAAAACGTAAAGCAGAAGATATGGAATCAGGAGATGAAAAGCCAAAAAAGATTAGTAGCAAGAAATATAGGAGAAAAAGAATGGAAATGAAAATTAGTGATGAGGATGGTAATGAAATTAAAGGGAATAACAGCAATGTAGCAAGCAGTAGTAATAATTATTCACGAAGATTAAAACAAAAATTTACTGATTCTGGATCTTCTACCACACCGAGTTCTTCTCGTAGTTCAAGAAAACATAAACTTGATTTCATCAAGGATGAAGATGATGGAGATGGAGATGATGAAGATATTCCACAATCAGTGAGATTATTTACTTATATTATTGTCATAATATATAATGACATGTTAATTAATATTTAACATTTGAATAATAGAAAAGACAGATGGTCGATCAAAGCTCTTCAATTAAAATGAAAAAAGTGTTTCATCAATGTATTGTTCATCTTGAAAGCTTTATCGATAACTCGGATGAGTAAGTCAATTGTTATTATATTAATATATTTATACATTTACGCATTGAAATATCTAATTCAATAATTTTTTTATTTTGTAGAAAACCACGAAAAAGAGCCGAGTTGTTTCTTGATCTTCCTAATAGAAGAGAATATCCATCTTATTATAAAGCAATCAAGAAACCAGTATCTCTTAATCTTTTACGTAAACGTATTAATCGTGGACATTACAAATCTTATGATGAATTTTTCAATGACATGATTTTAATGTTTGATAATGCTCGTACTTTTAACGAGGATGAATCTGAAATCTACCAAGATGCTAATATTTTACAAGTAATTCATTGATTAATAATTTTTTACTTCTATTTGAATTTAATGAAAAGATTATTTATTTATAATTATAATTATTATTATTATTATTATAGGAGGCATTCAATACCAAATTTACTCAACTTGTTTCAAATAATTAAATGAAAACATGTATTTTCTAACACATCTAATATCATCAATTATGTTGGAAAATCTGGCTAAGATTTACTCGTGACGATGTTATTAAAATAATAATGAAGTTAATTGAAAAACAATTTTCGCCAACATAAACGTGGCATGATTTTTCACTTAAGTGAAAAAAAATATTGCTTATTTTTAATAAATTTTCAAGGTCAAATTATAACAGTTTGTTGGAAAAAAAAATATTCCATATATATATTTATATATGAAATTATTAATTATAATCTTATCAATTGTTTCATCACACTTAGTTGATAAGTGTTATATTATATCCCTTAATCATCTTTATAAAAAATATTTTTTGTAATTTCAATCTATCAATTCATACTTTTCTAACTCTTTCGGCCAATACCTGTTGTATAAAAAAATTTTATATAATATTAGTCTACAAACTTTCTATTATTATAAAAAATAATTGGTTATATAATTCAGGAATGCTTTTATTGCGTATATTATTATTTTCAAAGCATTCATAATAAGTTGTTTTTTGCATCATTTTTCAGACTGGTGCCAACATTTATTTCATCATTATCTTTATATAATCGTAAATTATTATTATCTTTTTACCTTAAACATATATGTATGCTAACGATAGTTGAAAAAAAAATTGATATTAAAAAATTTTTTCATTTTTAATGTTACATAACGTATGAAAAAGGACAATGTTGATCAATTTAACTGATCCGATTTTTCGAATAAAATGAATTCTTTCTCAAACATATTGAAATTTACAACAATTAATAGATTTTCAAACATAAATTATATAAAGCAAACACAATCCACTAAACTTCTCACCGGTTATCAAACTTTAAATAATGATTTAGCGGTGAAGATACCTTATTATTATCACTTTCGAAATTTCACGAATTCTAAAGGTATTTAAATGTTTTATGTTTTTTTATTAAATATTATTTATTTATTCATTTATTTATTTTAAATAATTTTCAAGTTTATCAACATAAAGAAAATGCTTCTTCTCCTAATAACCATAAGGATGGGTAAGTAATTCAATTGTTAAAATAAAACATGCATCAATTTATTTCTAAATCATGAAATCAATTTATTTAAATAAGTGTAGCAATTAATTTTATTACACCTGAAGGAGAAAAAAAAACAATAATAGCTAATGAAGGTGAAAGTATAATGGATATATCACATGATCATGATAATGATATTGATCTGGAATGTATGTAATAATATGCAATTATTTTGACATTGTGTTATTTTAAAAATGATTATATTAAATCATGATTATTTTATATTATTTTATTAAGGTGCATGTGAAGGATCTTTAGCATGTTCAACATGTCATGTTATTGTTGATCCTGAATATTATAATAAATTAGAAGAACCCACAGACGAAGAAAATGATATGTTAGATTTGGCATTTGGTTTAACAGAAACGTATGACTCAATTTATTTATTTATTTGAAATATATGATGTTAATTTAAAATTTATTAATTAATAAATTAGTTCAAGGCTAGGATGTCAAATAGTTATGAAGAAAGAATTGGATGGAATAACTGTAACAATACCTTCAGCAACAAGAAATGTAAGATTAGAAGGTATTTAAAATATTTAAAATTTCTTCCTTTTCAATTTCAAAGAAGAAAAACAAATTATAATTAGAATAAATTTATTGCAATAGGATCAAAATTGTCATAAAAATGATTTTTTCCATTAATACTAAATTAATAAATTTAAATATAATCAATACACATTGATCAAAAATTCAAACATAACTATCTGAAACTTTTTAAGTCTTCGATTTCCGATTTAACAAGATGTTTCCTGGAATCATGACAATCCCAACAAATATTTTTGTTTCGTTAAATATTACATATTTTCAAAATTACAACAATGCAAGAATTCAAAATTTTAATATTAAATTTAAACTAAATATAGACATTTTACTTTTTTCTGTTTGTGATAAAATTACTTGTCTATGCGTATAAAAGCGTGATTCGAGAAAGCTCTAATAGTTAAACGATATGTCGCAGGAAGTATAATAGTCAAACGTAAAACAATTGAATGTCTTCAACTCGCAATCGTCATCAAATCCCACACAGTAAGTTTAATAATGAAAAAGAAATCTTGGAGATAAAATTCTCGAGCTCAAGTTAGTTCTGCAGCTAGATATTCAATCTTTCCTGGAGCAAAAATAAGTATATAGTGCGCGCCATCTAAAGACATCAAATAATGTGCGTACTGCCAAATCTTCAAATCCAAAAATAGTAATGATACTCTTTGGTGTCACGGGATTATAACATCACATGACTCAATCATTTTATATTCGTTATGAATTTGAGTATTCACATTCAAATAAATTTTTACTCGAATAAATGAATAAAACGAACAATTCGAACATGCTTTCATTAAACCATTCATCACCAGAATCGACAGTCTCATAAACGAAATCATTATAATCAATTTCTTTTTCACTTGATGCATTTTTATTCAATTCACCATCTGACTTTGTTTTTTTAACATTTCTAGCATTACTTAAATGTGCAGCTTGTTTACTTCGTTTTGGCATTTTTTTAATTTGAAGAATGTAAAATTGTTAGTAATAGTAATGTATTATTTGTTGATTGTATACGAAAATATATATATATATATTAATATATATTAATATAATAATGATTTCTGAACCGAATTTTATCTCTTAATGGTAAACACAAATTAAAGTTTTGATCACGATCTTGCATTCTTATTTGGGTTCCATCCTAGCAAAAAGGTGCTTCGGGCTCAAAAACCCCAAAATGAGTTATTGATTCTTTGAAGTGATGATTATAATTTGGTATAATTTTTGTCAACATTCAATTAATAGAAAAGTGTACAATTAGCTCA